ATTATGTAATTTAGCCTTCTTTTTATGTTGGCCACATGCCCATAGGCCCGCAAGTAAAACCAAAATACATGACTCGATTATAACGTGTTCAGACAAAATAATTGAATCTCTCAATCAGTTACCCATGCAATAAATCAATTAAATAGGATGTGTGTCCTCTCAATCAGTCACAAGTCAGCTAAATAAAGTAATATACCCGCCTCTTACACTAAATTCTAATTTTTAAGCCCCTACATGGTTGTTCAAACTTTGACCCTCATTTAGTAGCCATTTGAGGAAGAGGATCCCTTTTGGATCTTTTTGTGGGGATTTTATAGATCCTTGAATTATGTACATTTATGGTTCATCGTGTGGTCAAAAATTATTTTAAATATAATTATTTAATATTAAACATGAACAGCATTTAATAAGGATAATTTGGATGCGGTCCTTAGTCCTTAACATTCTTTGACTAAAACCTTAGGGGGCGTTTGTTTGGCCTCACTAAGTGTCACTGGACTAGACTGGACTAACTATTAGTCCAGTCCTGTGTTTGATATCATGCGGGACTAGTGTTAATGAGACTAGGTTCTTAGCGGGAGTCCCTGAAAACCATGGGACAAGCTAAGAACTGCCTCTCTCCACTCTCTGTTTCACTCTCTCCGACTCTCTCCATCTCTTCTTGCCCAGAACCCAGAATCATGAGACCTCATATCTGCTTTTCCCGTGCACATCTCCAGTTTATCGCTGACGCCGAGCTTGCTGTCGAAAGACAGTGATTTTCCTCTGCTTAGATCCTTGGCTTCCTTAACTCCCAATATCGCTATTGACCATCACCTTCATCCGCCGGGACATCGTCGGCAAACTCCACGATGCCAGCCAAAACCCAGAAACAAAAAATACCAATCTGCCAAAACCCAAATGAAATTCAGAAGCTTGTGAAAAATCCAGAAAAAAAAAACCCACATGACAAATCAGAAGATTTTTTTTAGAATGAATGAAAAAGAATGGAATTTGATGATAAGGGAGAAAGTGGTGAAAAAGAATGGAATTTGGTGATGAGGGAGAAAGTAAAAAGAGTCAGAAACGCAGTTGGATGGGAAGGAGAAAAAAATGGAGAGCATTCCAGAGAGAGGGTGTTCTATAAAGGTAAAAGAAAAAAAGAAAAAGAAAAAGAAATGTAAAAGATAGAATTAAATATTATTATTTTTATTATTTTAGTTCTTAATTCGATACTACACCAAACGCTTTACTAAGTTAGTCCAGCTTAGTCTAGTCTAAGCCAGTCCAGCTTAGTCCCTAAAGTTAGTATAGTCCGAGTTAGTCCGGTGCAACAAACGCACCCTAATGATATTCAAAGTTTGATCAAAGTCCTTTGATTTTGTATGCCTCATTATATTACTATTAATATTAATATTTTTATAGTTTTGACATTTATTGTTGGATATTTTATGAGATTTATAATCCTATAAATTTAAAATCCCTCATTATAATACTATTAGAAATGGCTACAATAAAAAAAATCAAACATTTTGATTGAATAAATGGATAAAAACTATGCAACAATAAGAAATAATAAATGGCAAAATAATGTATCAATAGTGTTAAAAAAATTGGTACATTCACATATAACAAAGTGGTACATTAATAAAGAAGAATGGATATATTATAAATAAATTAGGGTACAAATAAAAGATTAAAAAATAATGAGTACAAATGAAATTTTTAAAAATATGGGCGCAAAAAGAAATTAATACATTAGTACAAATTAAAACTAAAAAAAAAAAACTAAAAATTAAAAAAAATGTTGCAAATTAAAAATGGGTACAAACTAAAAATATAAATACATGATACAAAATTTAGTCATAAAACATAAATATACCATATGTAATTTTTCTATCATTGATTAATTATACAATGTCAAGTGATTGTAAACACATGGACACAAATACAAATAAAACTAAAAAAATATGGACACAAAAAGAAATTAATATATGGGTACAAATTAAAACTGAAAAGAAAATTGGTACAAATTAAAAAAGGTTTGCAAATTAAGAATGGATTCAAACTAAAAATAAAAATATATGATAAAAAATTTAGCCATAAATATAAATATACTAATTGTAACATTTTTAACACTAAATGAATATATTTAGAAATAAAAAATATTTTATTATTGAAATAATTAATTATGTTATTAATACTAAAGGACCTTAATTATATAATGTCAAGTGATTGTAAACACATGGGCACAAATACAAATAAAACTAAAAAAATATGGGCACAAAAAGAAATTAATATATGGGTACAAATTAAAACTAAAAAGAAAATTGGTACAAATTAAAAAAGATTTGCAAATTAAGAATGGGTTCAAACTAAAAATAAAAAAATATGATAAAAAATTTAGCCATAAATATAAATATACTAATTGTAACATTTTTAACACTAAATGAATATATTTAGAAATAAAAAAAATATTTTATTATTGAAATATTTAATGATGTTATTAATACCCAAATGCCTTGATCAAAAATTGAAAAGGAATAAGGTTTTAATCAATGGAGTAGCAAAAGAAGGAAAGAGAACCTAATTTTTTTATAATAAAAACTGATCGTACGATGAACGATGTACGTATCGAATTCAAGGATCCCCAAAATCTCTACAAAGAGAATCCTAAAGGGATCCTCTTCGGATAATATGTCCCCATTCATGACAAATTAGAGGTCCCATTTCCCATGTGAATGATGGACAATAATCGAATGCACAAAAGGGCACGCCTTAAATTGCCACTTCAGTCAAAATATCAAGTCATTATCGAAAAGCAATTTATGCATGACTTGACACCATCATCATCATCATCATTATCATCATCATCATTTTTACTGTATTAATATTTTAGATTTGTTGATTTTTTTTTCTTTGTAAAGATGACTTATAAATGATAAATTGAAATATAAAAAGGTCTTTCAAAAAAGTTACTAAATGAGAATCACAAGAAAATGTTTCAAAATGAGTATCAAAATGGTTTGTCCTCGGATCCTCTGTATATACAGATACATTTTTTTCACGAAATTTTTTTATTTAAACCCATACAATTTTACTTTACAACCAACTTACTCTTTACACCCATGCTGTTTTTAATTAAACCATCAGTTTCTCTTTAAACTAAAGTGTACTACCTAAATTACCCTGACAAATCACATTCAATATGTAAATTTATCTACCAAATTAAAAAACAAAAAACCAAAACCTAACGTCGAAACAGATAAAGAACATGGAACGGCATACGAAAATTTCGGGTAGAGGTATTCAAAAAAACTTTGTGCCGTTATCCAACGGTTTCAGCTTTCTATACTTGGATTCATGTTTGGTTAACAGAAAAGTTTTGATTTGTTGTGTCTTTTGACATTAATTAAACAAGTAACATGTGGTGCTATCTGAACTTGAGACTTGGATTCATGTTTGGTTTTTGCATTGTGTTCTTTGCTGATAATAACTACATTATTTCTGAAACTGAACCAATACAACCCACACGATTTCTGAAATTATAGCAAAACAACCATATTATTTCTGAAATTGAACCAAAATAACCAACAATTTCTGAAACTGAATCTAATAATCACACTATTTATGGAACTACTGCAAAATAAAGCACACTATTTCTGAAACTGAACCAAAAATAATTCACGCTATTTATGAAACTACAGAAAAATAACTCACACTATTTATGAAATTGAACTAAAATAACCCACGCTATTTCTAAAACTATAGCAAAATAATCACACTATTTTTTGAAACTAAACCAAAATAAACCACATTGTTTCTGAAACTATAACAAGATAACCACACTATTTTTGGAACTACAACAAAATAACCCACACTATTTCTGAAACTAGACCCAAATAGCTCATATTATTTATGGAACTACAACAAAATAGCCCTCACTATTTCTGAAAATTAAACCAAAATAATCTACATTATTTCTGGAAGGAAACAAAATAAACATTATTTTTAGAATTTCAGCAAAATAACCCACATTATTTTGAAACTAAACCAAAATAACTAACACTATTTCTGAAAACTAAACCAAAATAATCCACACTATTTTTGAAACTACAAGAAAATTACACCTATTTTGAAACTGAACCAAACTAATAAGTTTTAAAACTAGGAGATTTTCAGTCTTATGAGCCAAGATTTTCACCACGTTGTGTTTAGATAAGGATTTTGAAGAGCACTAATGAGTTCTAAGTTATTTCTTTACTTTCACAACTACTTAACTTATTTCCCTAATAGTATCATCTCGCTGGCATATAATTAGCATTCTTGTGATAGATTGAGCATGCCTCGACTTCACAAGTCAAGTCATACATCTCGTTGACATGTCCATCTTGAATAATATATTCTGGAGCTTATGAATTAGCCTCAATATTGTTCCCTAGATATTATTATTTTTGATCAAGAATAACAATTGCATTGATAAGAGAAATGCAAAAGGAGACAAAAGGGTGAGGGCACAAACGTCCAAGCCAGATAAAAGATAAAAAAATAAAGTTGATTTGACCCAAAAAAATAAAAAAAGTGATTCGACTCATATGATAGACAAACATGGACATAACTAAACAAATATTTAATCGGAGTGTGGCCCTGACAAACTTCACGCAGTTCAAAGCTTAATGGAAAAATTCAACTTTTTGATGGAATGAATTGACAGAATGAGACTTCCGTCGGTGGCATTGGTTGGAAAAAAGAAACATTGGGGTTGCATGTGGGCTTCTTTATTATTGATGAGGCTTTAGCTTTTATTTTTATTGTATTATATTTTATGTTTTTTTATTAAATTTCAAGCTTTTTATATTAAATAAAATTATAGGGTGGTTTTAGTTAAAATAAATTTATCTCAAATCATTTTTATTAAAGCTTCCCATATTAAAATAGTTACGTCATATTAAGATACCTACGTACGTCATATAAAAGGACAAACTTGAATTCTTATAAAACAGAACGACAATGCAGCTAGCAGCTTCAGTTTCTGCCACTCAACTCAAGTGCTAGCTATCTGCATGCTATTCTCTCTCCACCCCGTAAACTGAAAACCGCGTCGTACCTATTTGGGTAATCATTTTTACTCATCATCAGTGTCATTGAGTTATATATTTGAGTTATTATGGCTGGAAACGTCAAGGGAGCAGCTTCAGATGTGGAGAACCAGGCAGCAGAGAAAACACACAGGTCTCTCTCTCTCTCTCTCTCTCTCTCTTAAGTACTATAATTCTAAACTTAGCGTACTCCTAGCCATATGTCACTCTCATCAAAGTATAGCAGCGCACCATGATGGCGCAATCTGGCGTAGCGATGGAGAATTTGTGATAAGGCGTTGGGGATTCGCGGAGAGTCCCAAAATGCATACAAAATTTACACTATTTTGTACGCTACGCTTGTACATATGACTATTGCAACACCTTCTGTTTCTTTACTTTTTTAATTATAAAACACCCAAATGGCGTGGACAACAACGCCAAGAACGATACAACGCCCAAGAGTCGGCGGCGAGGTACTTGAAGGAGTGGACTTCAGTGAAAACTTTCAAATTATAGGCATTAAAGTAATTTAAAAAAAAAAAGTTTTTGCTGTTTTTAATCCATCCCCTTGCCCACATGTCGTTTTGTCCGGATTCGTGGTTCAGCGCGGTGCAGCGGGAAGTTGCAGCTTGGCGCGTGGGCAGGAGAAACAAAGCCCGTGATGGGCTAGAAAATCCTAAGCCCAAAAGTGGCCCGGGTTGACTGCTGTGAGACATGGGTTGACCCGCAAAATGAGGACCAAAGTCCTGGTTTGTGGTCTGGTACACCGTACACCCTCAGCAGGGCTGGGTGTGCGATTTTCGCTGGAAAGAAAGGGGGCGCCACCATCTGCTACGTCGCTATCCTCGGGGTCGAGCGTAAAGTTCAAGACCGTCACATCAACCTCGATGAACGTCGAGGGAAGTTGTTCCAGAACGATGAGGAATGAGGAACTGACGAGGTAGTAAGGTGGAAGAACCTTGGGATTTAGGTCGACAGATGTTATTCTCGTCGGTAGTCCCTGTGGACTACGTATCATCCCGTGGCTGGCTTTGTTGAAATCGACGGCGGCATTCAACTGGTGTCTAAATTAATTCGAGGAAATGTCAAAGTCCTTGATTTCAATTTTCCAATCGTTCACGACGATTATCACATCAAGAACGACGACCTAGGTCGTTTGTGATGAAGGAGGCGCAACCCCTGTACTCAATTTCATCGGGGAGGCGGCAACGCTGGTCTTGCGAAGAAGACGACGTCGAAAGACGTCCTTTTCTCGGCCTGAGTCTGGGTCTTGGACTGGGGCAGATCGGCTCGAGCAACAATTTCTTATGCGACCCGTTAACACGACACGTAAATAACACGAAAATAATATATTTCAGACTAACATAATAACTAATCGGATTGTTATTGGGTCACATCGGTTAATAATGGATCCTTAACAGGTTTACACGAAAGTGACACGCAAGTAACCTGTTTTGACACGTTAAGAAAAAAACTATTTTTAGGGGTGGAAAAAAAATACCAAATATCCCAAACCAAACCGAAAAATTCCCCAAACCAAACCAAAAATCCCGAAACGTTCGGTACCCAATACCGAACCAAACCGAAATTTTCAGTACGGGAATTGGTTTCAAGTTTTTTTATTTTTTTTTTGGTATTCCCAAACTGAACCGAAATAAAAAATATATATGTTATTTAATTTTTAAATATATATTTGAAATTGTAACAGTCGTCGGATTCTGTTGAGATTTAATCTCAACCATTGAATAGAAATCAAACCCTACACTTACACTTTGTCTCTCCCTTCTCTCTTGACACTCAGTACACTCACTCTCTAGTGGCTCGCCTTAAACTCAAACCCTCACCTCACTACCCTCGTCGCCAAGTTGCCTCTCCGTTTTCGAATCCAGCCACACCAGTGACTCACCTGAGTCACATCTCTCTCGACTATCACCTTTCTGATCTCTCTCTCAGTCTCTCTCGACTTATCATCCCTCACAGAGTCACACTGGATGAGCCTTCATGAATCATAGCCACAACAGTGTCACTTTCCTTCTCAGTCTCTCAATCTCTCTCGATTCCAGTCATCCAGTGCACTGTGCAATTCTCACCCAAATCAGGTAAAGTTCACAAGCTAATTTAGGGTTGGAATTCAAGATTAGGGTTTGTGAAATTTAGCACTTGGAAGATAAAGTATACTGCATACTGAGGGTTTAGGGGTTAAATTGGTGGTTGGAATTCGAGATTAGGGTTTCTCTTCTGTCACAGACTCACAATTGAAGAATAAATTTGTTACGGGTTGATAGTTCATAACTTCATAGTTGTAGCAATAATTGTAGTTGCTGAAATGAATTTCGAGAGTTGGTGTAAATTGATGAATGGAGTTTAGAATTAACCGTGGGATTTTGGGATGTTTGTAATGCAGCACCATAAATGTATTTATAGTTTGTTTAGTTGTTCTTTTATATATGAAGATGTTGAACTGATGAACTGTCAAATACCCACTTAATTGTACATCATTAAGTTAAGGAATCTTCAATTGCAATGCTAGATCATATCTCTTTCATAAATCAATTGCATGCATGTGTAGTAGAATAAACAGATTGGCTATTGTGAGTAGGAGATATAGGCAAGGATTTTGGTTGGATTATGCTTGTTAATCTTAATTATAGAATGACTTGATTCATGCTTGGGGACTTGATTCATATGCAGATTGGCTATTGTGCACACTACACAGTCAAGTTCTTATAGCCTAAAAGTTCAAAAGCCCAATAATATTTTTGGAATCCCGAATTGTCCCAAAATCCTGAAAATATTTTGGGATTCCCGAAAATTTGATTTCAGATTGTTCTTGAAATTGGGATTCCAGAAAACTTCGGTTTGAGAATCGGGACAAGGGTTTCGGTTTGGTATCCCATACCGAACCAGCCCTAGCTATTTTGATGATTTAAAATTTTTAAACTACTACAAAATACAATAATCATAATGCATATGTGTATATTGCGTATTAAATATGTATTATTATATTATTATTTTATATAAATTTAAAATTTTAGATTTTATTTATTTATTTATTTTTATAATATACTCTAGGCAAATAGTGATATTAAAAAAATCATCAAACATATTAAAAATAAAAATATCAAATAATTTAAAATACTAAACACATTAAAAAATTATAATAATTAATTTACAAATGTGTAAAATGAGAAAACATATGAAAACGCTTGTGATCACATCTTCTACGCTTTGAGTATGGGTACATAGTCGTTTGAATTTTTAAAATCATACAAACCCTCATGAATAGTAGTTTAAGGGAGTTTAAAATAAATAAAATTCATAATTATTAATATATAAGTTTGAAAAATGTGAAAGCATATATAAACGTGCAAGGTTCCTCAACCTTGAAACACAACTTCCTTCATTTTTCATATTCTTGAACATTTGGTATTTTGTAGTAATGTACTAATGTTTTTTCATTAGACTCTTATTTTGGAGTATGTAATTGAAAGACAAATATATATATATATATATATATATATATTTTGGTGTTTTGAAGTAATATTTATGTGATAATGTGGTATGCATATATTAATTTAGTATTATGTTTTCCATTTTTTTTTGGGTCAAATTATGTTTTTCATTTTCATTATTTATTGATTTAAAATATATTTTCTTTAACTGGTAACGGGTCATATTACCCGTTTACTTCAATGGCTGTTACACGACATGACCCGTTAAGATATCGGGTATGCCACGAAAACGACACGAACTCGGAAAACATGACACGAAAACTAGGTCTGCGAGCTGTATGCTCCAATGCTGGCAGTTGGTTGGGCTTCAGGTAGGGTCCAAATGACCTTCGTCTCCATTTGGTGGACTGGATGAGATCAATTAAAATGGACTTGAGTTTAGTTAGTTATTTGTTGTGTCAAAATGTGAGATGGACAAGACCGGTTAGGATGAGTTATGAATCGACAATAGAGTGGCTTATTTACCATCCTTTTACATGGATTACAAGTCATGTCTTGCAAGCCTTTACCAATCCAATCTCATCCCTAATGTCCAATCTCATCCAACCTACCAAACGGGCCCTTAATGCTTTATTCCTCATTCATTCTTTTCATGTTTTCACACACATATATCAATTTCATGTCCGTCACACAGATTCAATAATATATCACAATATTCGAAACATGCAAACACAATATAATTTCGAAAATAAACAGGTGCATATTTGGCCACCAGTTTGATTCACCAGCCACATGAATCAAAGGACGAGCCATGTGGAATGCGGGCCTTGAATTCGCCCAAACCACTGTCTACCCTGTGGTGGTTGGTGGTCTCAAACTATTCACATGAATTATATTTAACTATCAAAAACTTATTGTATTAAATGCATATAAGTATTGTAACCAATCTCATAAAATTATTGTTGAATTATTATTAGGGGACTACTTTTGACTTTTGGCACTCCACAAATCTAATTGTACACTCCAAGAGATTTTTTTCTTCTTCTAAATATATATAAATTTAGAGTATACAATTAGGTTTTTGGACCGTTCTCCTATTATTCATTATTTATTGTACGTTACGCAAGACGGATACTTGTTGTAGCGAAGAATGTCTGAAATATATCTATTAGCTGCTATTAGAACCAGGTTTATATCTGATTTTATCTTGTTTAATTTGTTAGCTCGAGGGGTTCGTATTAGGGTTTAGGGTGAACGCATGTGAATTTCATTTGTTGTTTGTTGCGTATTTCCCAGAAAGGATGGAGAACGTTCGAAATCAATGTGCAGTAGCGACCTTACCTTGATAAAGAAGATTTGTAATGTGCATGAGGGGAGTCACCTTTTAGTATGGAACAGAATATTTGTGATATCATGCGTATTTGCTGTCTCTCTGGATCCCTTCTTCTTTTACGTTGTGATCATTGATCAGGATAACAAGTGCCTTCAAATGGACAAAACGTTGAGTATTGTTGTTTGTCTCATGCGATCACTCACGGATGTCATTTTCCTGGTGCATTTTATATGTGAAATTTGTGACCATATTCAAAGTTCGAAACGAAATACCGTGAAAAAAGGACCCTCTTCAGAGGTCAGACAAACTGGGGGAAGTTCAGATAAGAAATCTAAAATCAGAAAGTTGATTGAGAAAATGGCTCAAAAGATGTCGTGGTTATCTGTCTCCATTGTAATAGACTTTTTCTCCTTTATTCCCCTACCACAAGTAAGAAAAATGAACTAAACTCTAGTTTTCTTTTTTGTGGCTAAATGAAATTGATGGACTTCTATGTTCTAACCCTTTTAGATCTTTTGATTTTCTGCAGCTGCTAGTAGTCATGTTTTACACAATGAAAGGCTCAGGATTTGTGGAACATAAAAAGGTTCTGAATGTTTGTCTTCTCTGTCAATATTTTCCGAGGATTTATCTAATTTACCTATCGGCCAAGGAATTCAAAATGACTAATGGGATATGGATTAAGGGTCTATTCAACTTGTTTCTCTATATTCTTGCCAGCCACGTAAGTTTCACCTCAATTGTCATTCTATTTTAATACTTTGGTAATTACTAATGTTGGATTATGGATGCAGTTTTTTTTTAATTTTAAAATGTTAGACTTATTATTTGGGGTTTTGTGTTTGCATGTTATGGATTTAGATACTCGGAGGTTTTTGGTACTTTTTTTCTATTCAACGAGAGTTATCATGTTGGCACAAGGCCTGTGAAAATTATATTATAGATCTCAGGGGATGTGTGAACACTTTCTACTGCGATAGTCAGAGTACTACTGCTAGAAATATAACATTTCTTAACGAGCGTTGCCCGTTGGATACTCCAGATGGTGTTTTATCTCCGATTAACTTTGGAATATTTCTTGATTCCCTTAAGAATCAAAACACGGAGCATATAAAGTTCGGAAAGAAGTTCTTTTACTCTTTCTGGTGGGGCTTGCGAAATCTAAGGTTCGCATATATCCATTCACAATCAACAATTTTAGAAAATATGTAAGGAATAAAATTTTTGGGGTTATCTAATTCAGCAACATTGTCTAATGTGATATCATGTACCTTAATATTTTGCAGTAATTTTGGGACTAATCTGACAACAAGTACATATGTGTGGGAAAATTTGTTTGCGATTCTCATTTCTGTCGTTGGCTTGCTACTGTTTTTATATCTCATTGGAAACGTGCAGGTTGGTATATTCAATCTCTCTGTACATTTTCAACAATTTTCCTGTGTTTGGGACTGTATGCGGAGATCATTCTTCGAGTATACTAAGTCATTGTTTGAATTGTGGCGAGACAGACTTTTATGCAGATGGAAGCTACCAAAAAAGAGGAGATGAGACAAAAGATTAAGATGAAGAGGCTAGACGTAGACACCTGGATGTCCAGAAATGAACTCCCTGAAGAAATAAAGAAAGAAATCTTGAGTAGCATAAAGCAAACATTGAAACAAAAAACATTGAAACAACACATTGACGCTGATCTCCATAGTTTTCTGTTCTTCATTCTTCCCGGGAAAACCAGAACATCTCTGAAGCGTTGTCTTTGCATGAAAACACTTAAGAAAGTATGTTCCTCAACCTCCATCTTTCACCATTAATTTATGGTATACATTGTTTAAAAACAAAAATGACGTTTACATTCAATGTTTGAATTACAATAAAGATAAGATTGCACTATAATCTCAGAGTTTATAGTTCAAAGTTATATAACACTGCTAAGTTAGTTAACAACACAGAATAAGATTGTTATTACTATAACTAGGTTAATTGCATCCATTTTCACTGCAATGGTGTTCTGATAATATATGTCTGCACGCGTGCGCGCACGTGTTTAGGTAAAAATGCTTCAAGGCATGGATGACAAAGTGTTGACTTTGATGTGCGACTATCTGAAGCCAGTGACGTACATTGAGAACAGCAACATTTTTCGAATGGGAGATCCATTCGACTGCGTGCTAATCATTATGGAAGGGACAGTGTGGACTTACGCGTCGAGTGATAGTCAAGCTGGGCGAGGAATCTCATCAATGGGCACCAAGCCCCTCCGGAAAGGTGACTTTTACGGGGAAGAGCTTTTCGATTGGGCACCAGGCAGTTTCACCGAACTTCCAGTCTCTAGCAAACATGTCAAAACTCGGGTAAAAGTAGATGCATTTCTGCTCACGGCCCATGACTTGGATAGTGTAGTTTCCAAATACCGGCTACAGTGGAAGGAAGGCAAGAAGGGTACTCCTGATGAGAAGGTCGTGGCAGTTTCTACTATAGCAACAGCATACCGTGACTACCGTCATCATCGTCGTCTCCAAGCAATCACCAAAGTATGTTACTCAACCTCCATCTCTCGTCATTAATTTATGGTATACATTGTTTTAAAACAAAATGGCGTTAACATTCCACGTTTTATTTACAATAAAGATAAAATTGCACTATAATCTTAAAGTTTATAGTCCCAAGTTATATAATAATGCTAAGTTAGTTAATAACACAGATAAAATTGTTATTATTACAGCTAGGTTAATTGCATCCATTTATTAATTGCATTCATTTTCACTGCAATGCTGTTTTGATAATATATGTCTCCGTGCGCGTGCATGCGTTTAGGTAAAAAAGCTTCAAGGCATGGATGACAAAGTGTTGACGTCAATCTGCAACTATCTGAAGCCAGTGACGTACAATGAGAACAGCTTCGTTTTTCGAATGGGAGATCCAGTCGACTGCATACTGTTCATTATCGAAGGGACAGTGTGGACCTACGCGTCGAGTGATAGTCAAGATGGGCAAGGAATCTCATCAATGGCCACCAAGACCCTCGGGAAAGGTGACTTTTACGGGGAAGAGCTCCTCGATTGCGCATCAGACAGTTTCACCGAACTTCCAGTCTCCAGCAAATATGTCGTGTGTCAGACAAAAGTAGAAGCATTTGTGCTCATGGCCAACGACTTGAAAACTGTAGTTTCCAAATACCCGCTACAGTGGGAGAAAAACGAGAAATAGGGTTCTCAAGAGGTGAAGGATATGGCAGCTTCTACTACAGCAACAGCAACGTCGTGGTCTCTCAAGCCTTTTCCATAGCGTTTTCGGAACGCTATAAAATGCTTTTGTATTATAACGTTTTAAAAACTCTTATGAATGTGTGCGCTAGTTGTTCTACATCAGTCTTCACTTCGAAAGAACTCGACCCCAAGTTATCATCTGGATAAAATGACTCATCATCGTTGAACGCATGAAGATCAACAACATTGAAAGTCCTGGAAATTCGCGTGGAATCTGACAACTAGCACACCACTGCATGACAAGTAATCTCACAAGTAAGAATAATTTCATGATATCAACCTGGTCTTAAGAAGGATCGAGAATCAGCAGTTATGCGAGGTGTTTAGTCTAGTCATTGTCAATGCATAAATAATACCAGTTCACAGAGAAACTCAAGATATCTCTGGCATATTAAAAAAAAAACACATATATATTATATATAAAGGTTGAGAGCGAGAGTAGACGAATGCGAGAAAGGGAAAGTATTCCTTGGATACGTAGGAACACTCGCCCAAGCATAATTGACAGACCCCTTGAATGTTTGACGGCAAACAGAGATCATATCTTGAATAAGATGCGTGTGGAGCCACATGCTCTCTGTCATGTTACAGAGAACACCACCAGGCATAAATGCTCTAGCTATTGTCTCAAAAAATAGCTTCTCTACAAGCTCTTGGGCAGGACCTGCATCCAAAGTAAACCATACGTTTAAGCACTAGATTTAGAACCTTATTATGGGGGACACGGAAAATAGAGTAACCAGAAACAAACATGCCCTCCGTAAGATTTACACAAACAACAGCTCAAAGACATCTTATATGCTCACAAATCAATACAACGAAATTCGAAGTCAGCCGGCCAAAAATTGCACGCCAAAACTATTATAAAGATAAAAATCATACCGACAGGGTCTGACGAATCAACAATTACAGCATCATACTTCCCTTTAGGTGCAAGCCTTAAGAATTCAGTAGCTGTCATGCATTAAAAATGAGATATAATGGACAGCACCCAAATACAAAGTCAATTTGACTGACACTTTTTAAGTGTCAAACCTACCATCACCGACATGAAGGTGGACGCGAGGGTCCTGAAATCCAACGGCTAACTGAGGGAAAAACTTCTCGGACACCTACAAGAAGCCAATCAAAAGAAAACAGATAGTCAGCTCAAATTCTTAACAATCAAATATGTTAGGAATGTCGGTACTACAAGATAGAGAATGCACAAAGTAAAGTAGAAAATGGACACCAAAAATTTATGTGGTTCGGCAATTTATGCCTACGTCCACCAAACAAGGATCAATCTTCACTATATGAAAAGATGAGTACAACAAGAGTAGTCTTACCAAGCCAAAGACAAGGCTTGATGGATACAAGAAAGTAGGACACACACTTTCTATCACACTAAACTTCACTCACACAATGTGTAGTGGAACACTCTCACTCTCACTCTTGGAGTGGAACTCTAGCTTTGGACTTGATCCTTTGCTACTCACTACTCTCTTGATTTTGTTGGTTCTCAATTGGTTACATCACACCCATATTTATAGGTGAGGGCTTGGCATTCTACTAGTTTCTAGTTCCTTCTTCAAACCTCTAGTATAGAAAAATCTAGACTAGCCACATACTTGTAGCTTCTAGATCTTTCCATTTGCAACCAAGGAAGCTAGTACTCTCTAGCTTCTTCCATCAACTTAATAACATGCTAGAATTGTCTAGCAAGCTCCAGCCTTATCTCTTGCTTACTAGAATAATCTAGAACATTGATCATGGGCTGGACCATATACCAACAATCTCCCCCTCTAGTCCATGAGGGAGGAATTCCGATCATGACTCCAAGTTACCTGGAGTTCATCCCAGCAGCCTTAATGCAAAATTCCAACTTTGATTTTGTGACTACCTTTGTCAACATGTCTGAAGAATTATTATCGGTATGAATCTTCTTCAGCTGTAGCAACTTGTTCTCGATAGCGTCTCTAATCCAGTGATAACGAATATCAATGTGCTTAGTGCGTGAATGATATGTAGTGTTCTTGCTCAAATCCAGAGCACTCTGACTATCACAATAAACGCCATAATCACTTTGCTTCAAACCCAACTCTTGGAGAAACCGCTTCAGCCACAACAACTCCTTGCATGCTTCTGTAGCGGCTATGTATTCAGCCTCGGTTGTGGACAAAGCAATGCACTTTTGTAACTTGGATTGCCAAGACACGGCTCCCCCCCTGCAAAAGTAAACAAGTACCCAGACGTAGATTTTCTACCATCCAGGTCACCTCCCATGTCAGCATCTGTAAATCCTTCCAAGATTGGTTTGGAACCGCCAAAGCACAAGCACATCTTAGAAGTCCCCTTCAAATATCTGAGAATCCACTTAACGGCTTCCCAGTGGTCCTTCCCTGGATTAGAGAGAAACCTGCTCACCACACCTACTGCATGAGCAATATCTGGTCGTGTGCACACCATTGCATACATGATACTTCCTACTGCTGAAGAGTAGGGAACAACTGCCATTTTCTCCTTTTCTTCATATGTTTTTGGACACGACTCTTTGCTCAACTTGATATGATTGGCTAAAGGTGAGCTTACCGGTTTGGCTGCTTTCATGTTGAACCTTTCAAGCACCCGTTCAACATACTTTTCTTGTGACAGCCACAACTTCTTGGATTTTCTGTCACGAATTATCTCCATGCCCAAAATCTGCTTGGCTGGCCCTAAGTCCTTCATGTCAAAGGACTTAGATAACTCTTCTTTGAGCTTTTTAAAATCATAGAAGCATCTTGTCCGACAATCAACATGTCATCAACATAAAGCAATAAGATGATGAATGTACCTCCAGAAAATTGTTTGATATAGACACAAGAGTCAGCATGAGTTCTCTTGTACCCATTACTCACCATGAATGAGTTGAACTTCTTATTCCACTGTCTCGGAGCCTGCTTAAGACCATATAAACTTTTCTTGAGCTTGCACACCAAATTTTCTTTACCTTTGACTTCAAAGCCTTTGGGTTGCTCCATGTATATCTCCTCTTCTAAAATTGCCGTGGAGAAATGCAGTTTTAACAATCTAACTGCTCGAGCTCAAGATCCATGCTTGCTGCCATACCAAGGATAACTCGAATGGAAGTCATCTTCACCACCGGTGAGAAAATCTCATCGAAGTCAACTCCTTTCTTTTGACCAAAACCTTTGACAACCAAACGAGCCTTGTACCTTGTCATGTTGTCGTCTCTTTTCAATTTGAACACCCACTTGTTTTTCAATGCTTTCCTGCCCTTTGGAAGCTCCACCAGCTCATAGGTATCATTCTTTGATAAGGAATCCATCTCCGACTCCATTGCCTTCATCCATTTGTCACTGTCGTTATGAGCTCTGGCCTCCTCATATGTTTCAGGCTCTCCATAATTAGTCAACATGATATACTCTGATGAAGAATACTTGGTAGACGGTCTTCGACTTCTGATGGATCTTCTGACCTGATCTTCATTCTCTTGTAGGGCTGGAGGCTCCCCCTGATTGGATTCTCCTTGAATCTGCTCTTCTTGACTAGGCTCCACCTGATCAGCAATTTCATGGTCTGGCACATCTTGATCAGGCTCCCTCTGATCAGCATTATCTGGTTCTGCAGGCACTTCATTGGCAGCTGCTTCAGGGATGTCATCGTGACTTTCTTCATCTGAAGCTAATGGATCAACTCCTCTGTCTGCGCCATCTGGTTGTGCTTCTTTATCCGAATCCCCAATTGTTTGATCTTCATAAAAGACCACGTCTCTACTTCGAATAAACTTCTTCTGGTATGGGTCCCATAATCTGTAACCAAAATCTTCATCGCCATAACCAAGAAAGATGCACGGTGTAGCTTTGTAGTCTAACTTCGATCTCTGCTCTTTGGGCACATGCACAAAAGCTTTACAGCCAAACACTTTCAGATGAGAGTAAGACACATCATTACCAGCCCATACTCTCTCTGGAACATCAAGACCTAATGGTACTGATGGAGATCGGTTGATCAAATAGCAGGCTGTCCTTACAGCTTCACCCCAAAACTGCTTAGATAACTTTGCAGTCCTCAGCATACACCTGACTTTCTCCATGATGGTTCGGTTCATTCTTTCAGCAACACCATTATGTTGTGGAGTTCCAGGAACTGTCTTCTCATGACGTATGCCATGTTTCACACAATACTCTCTAAACTGGTGAGATGTGTACTCGCCGCCGTTGTCGCTACGAATGCACTTAAGAGGTTTCCCAATTTCCCTCTCCACCATGGCATGGAACTCCTGGAATGTCTGAAACACCTGGTCTTTGGATTTCAACAAATACACCCAAACCTTTCGTGAAGCATCATCAATATAAGTAACAAATATTTATTTCTTCCGAGTGACTCGACTTCCATGGGACCACACACATCTGAATAAACAAGATCTAACAAATTTCCTTTCCTTGTAGATGGAATCGAAAAACTAATTCTTCTTTGTTTTCCTAATAAACAGTGCTCACAAGAGTTTAACGACGTACCTTTGGCAAAGGGAATGTGAGACTTCTTTGCCAAAACCTGTAGGCCTTTCTCGCTCATGTGACCTAGCCTCTTATGCCACAAGTCTAGAGATGAGTCATCCACAGCATTTAACTCACCTTTCAAAACCTTGGCATTTGACCGGTACAACGTACAACAAAGTCGTGCTCTTGCTACCACCATTAAGCCTTTAGTAAGCTTCAATTTTCCTTCGCCAATATGGTGATAATATCCTTGTCGATCAAGGGTACCGATGGATATCAGATTGAGACGTATATCAGGAATATGTCTCACATCTTTCAACATCAATTGGCAGCCGAGATTAGTTCTTAGACATATATCACCAATTCCAAGAATTTTGGAATAGCTTTCATTCCCCATCTTCACTATGCCAAAGTCACCTTCTTTGTATGTACTGAAGAACTCCCATTTGGACGTAGCATGGAAGGAAGCTCCATTGTCAAAGATCCATTCAATGTCTCTGTCAGAGTTGCCCATATGCAGACATTCACCAACAGACAATATTTCTGGTACATCACCACATATGACAGCAGTGGTATTGCCAGTATCATCTTTCTTCTGATTGTTTCCTTCCCTTTGCTCTCTCTTCCAAACTCGACAATTTTTCTTCATATGGCCTTCTTTGCCACAATGGTGGCATGCACCCCTGAACCTTGACTTGGATCGGCTAGGACTCCTGCCATGACCTCTAGGCCCTCTACTCTTGCTTCTTCCGCAGTTCTCTGTGACAAATACTTGGCTGCTATCTGTGCCAGAAGTCTTTCTCCTTGTTTCTTCATTGAGCATGCTATTTTTAACATTATCAAGGGTAAGAACACCATTAGAAGCAGAGTTACTTATACTCACCACAAAGGTCTCCCAACTATCTGGCAAGGATCCAAGTAACAAGAGCGCTTGTAGCTCGTCCTCGATCGTCATTTTCATAGTAGCCAACTGGTTGATGATATTCTGGAAATTGTTCAAGTGTTCTGCTACACTTAAACCATCCTTGTACTTCACATTGATGAGCTCTTTGATCAAGAAAGCTTTCTTAGCTGGAGTCTTCTTCTCGAACAAGGACTCAAGCTTTGTCCAAAACTCGCGAGCATTGGTTTCATTAGACACATGGTGAAAAACACTATCATCCACCCATTGTCTAATTGTGCCAATAGCCTTGCGATTCATCTTCTTCCACTCGGCATCGGACATGCTCTCGGCTTAGCGGCATCTCCTTCAATTGGCTCATGCAAATCCTTGCAATAGAGAATGTCCTCCATCCTTGGCTTCCATGTTACCCAATTGGAGTTGGTGAGTTTGATCATAGTGCCACTTCCTTCCATCTCGTAGTACGAGCCAACCGGGCTCTGATACCACTTGTTAGGAATGTCGGTACTACAAGATAGAGAATGCACAAAGTAAAGTAGAAAATGGACACCAAAAATTTATGTGGTTCGGCAATTTATGCCTACGTCCACCAAACAAGGATCAATCTTCACTATATGAAAAGATGAGTACAACAAGAGTAGTCTTACCAAGCCAAAGACAAGGCTTGATGGATACAAGAAAGTAGGACACACACTTTCTATCACACTAAACTTCACTCACACAATGTGTAGTGGAACACTCTCACTCTCACTCTTGGAGTGGAACTCTAGCTTTGGACTTGATCCTTTGCTACTCACTACTCTCTTGATTTTGTTGGTTCTCAATTGGTTACATCACACCCATATTTATAGGTGAGGGCTTGGCATTCTACTAGTTTCTAGTTCCTTCTTCAAACCTCTAGTATAGAAAAATCTAGACTAGCCACATACTTGTAGCTTCTAGATCTTTCCATTTGCAACCAAGGAAGCTAGTACTCTCTAGCTTCTTCCATCAACTTAATAACATGCTAGAATTGTCTAGCAAGCTCCAGCCTCATCTCTTGCTTACTAGAATAATCTAGAACATTGATCATGGGCTGGACCATATACCAACAAAATACACAAAGGAGTACTTACACTACTTACATCTAGAACCATCTTATCTATCTCACATATATCACTATGCTCAACAGAAGGATGGCGAGAAACCTCCCTAAGAACCCCACCATCACCACCACCAACAACCAGAACCTGCATCGAAAATCATATGGCACTTAGCACTGTCGCTGCAATAAGAAAACAATAACAACTTTATGAGGGCATAAATGCTTCTCATTTTTATCACTTCTAATTTCTATCACTATATTCCAAGCACAAAAGTAGACCAAACTGCAATCACCAGGCTGTAACCAAGTCAAATTATTATAAAGATGTGGGCTTTTAAATTTCATAATAACACCATTCCACATTCGACATTCTATTCTCTGCCGACTAGGGAAGCTGGTTCATAGTGCAAATGGTCATCTACAGGATAACTTCAGCCAAATCCGAAGTTTGGCGGAGCAGTACCATTGTGCAGATAAAAAAAGGTCGTACCCAGTGCACAAGGCTTCCGCTTTACGCAGGGTCTGGGAGAGGTGAATGTCGGCTAGCCTTACCCCCATTTATGGAGAGGCTGCTCCCAAGTCTCGAACCCGAGACCTACCAGTACCATTGTGCAGATATGGTTACAAAATCATTGCATCCAAGTCAAGCCAAAATGAGGTAGAATAGTACAATTTTATGGGCTAAACACCATATGTGATGCCTGGCAGGTAACGAACAAGGGATCCCTAAATGATCTTCAGATAGCCTTTGCAATTCATACTACGATCAGCAACATGACCATGAGCTCATGTATTCGGGTTCTGCCCAATTTTGCAGTGAAAACCATCTTAAGCTTTCAGAGAATATGCAAAAGAAAAGTGCATGAAGAACATTCAAACTCTATTCAAATCCCAGATTAAGTGTTTCCATTTTTCAAAGCAAAAAATTGATTTCAATCTAGTTATACTACGTGTTCTCATGGTCACGGGTGATCATGATCAAGAGATCAAGAGATTCAGCAGACTTTACACACACACACAACAAAAAACATGAGGGAGGGATGGATCATGTATAATTACTGTCTTGGGGGAGGAAATTGAACAAAGAGTTAGATGTGCTATCATCTCTGGTATGCACATTCATCTTTCTCACTCAGCTGGATAATGACATCAAGAACAAGCACTTTTCCATGTATTGAGGACTGCATAAAAAGGAATTCATAAATAAGATTTAGAAAAGGAACACAAGGGAGATAAACAAGCAAATTAAACTGTCTTAAGACAAAAATGGCAAACCTCAAACACCAAAATCTCTTGGAACTCTGATTTTCCCCTATACAGAATATTTTCTACTTTCAGTGAATGAGCTTCACCTGAAAAAAAAAATAATAACAAAAATGAAAATCTTCAACGCAAATACATGCAGAAAAACTCTCAATTTAGAGGTGTTGTTGAAGCGAAATTTCATACGAGAAGAAATACCTCCACAAATTTGTTGACTGCAATCCTCACATTCGCCGAATCCCTCGTAAGAGGCATCCTATCTTTCTCCATAGCTTGTTTGGGCGGGGTACCTGCAAAAGATACTTTGACGCTCAAGTCAGTTAATTGATTTTCTGTTCTCTGGTTTTTCTCGGATTCTGATTGCATACCTTGTTCTTTGGCTCCTCTCCATATTTATAGGATTGCATGCTTAGAGAACAAGTACCATGACCTCTCTTCCTTTCCCACTTCCTTAGTGGTCCTCCGTAACATGACAACATGCTTCATGAACAAGTACCACGTCATGTCTTCCTTTCCCACTTCCTCAATGGTCCTCCGTAGTGAAGGCAGTTATCTAGACACGTGCGTCTGTATATTCTTTGTGGGCTTTCCTCACGCTTTATCTTGCACAACACCATCTCTGGGTGATTGGTATTGGCCCATGAGTCGAAACTGAAATTTATCCTCCCAAAATGCCCCATTTTTCCTGTTTTTACGTATTTAAAATAGGGGAACTATACTCTTTAAGCCAAGCTAAAACTTTAAGCACTTCTTGGTAAGGCCAAATTTGTGGAAGTTGCTTTTTCTAAGGATAAATTTACTGAAGGTAAATTTACCAAAGGCCTCGTTTCATTCGCCTAACTTACAGATGCTCTACTAGCTTTTTTCACCATGTCGTATTGACGCACAATTTACTAACACCTAAACCATAATATACGAAAGTCGACTGTCGCCTAACTTGCGAAAGCCAACAGACTCCTTTGCATACTTTAGAAAAGCCAACTAACATCTTCGCATAATTTACGAATCAGGGTTGACACCTTCCCACGAAAGTGGACTGACCTTGTATGATTTACGAACAAGGGCTGACACATGATTTACAAACGAGGATTTATGAACAAGGACTGACATGTTACGAAAATGGACTAACACCTTGTATGATTTATGAACGAGGATTTACGAATGAGGGCTGACACATGATTTACGAACAAGGACTGACACATTACGAAAGTGGACTGACACTTATACATATTTATTAGGGTAAATCTCAATTTACTACCCTTATATTTCGTGGTTTTTAACATTTAGTACATCAAGTATTTTTCGTCCCAGAGTCATACCTAAAGTGTTAATTTTGGGACAGTCTCATACATCCATTAGTCAAACTGTTAAGTCTGTAGTTAACTGATGATGTGGTGCTTATGTGGACAATGATTGGGTGCCACGTGTCATTAAGGGATCCACGTGGATTTTTTTTTCAAGAAGGGGTTCCGAAAAAAGAAAAGAAAAAAACCATCTTCTACCTCCCCCAACCCCCCGCACCATTTCCCTCACTTCTCTCTTCTGCAACCCGCACCCCTTCCCGCTCTTCTTTCTTCTACAAGCTACAAGCCCTAGTTTATAAATTCCAAATCATATTTTCTAGTTGATTACTCTGCAAACTCAGTGGTACAATCTGGACCTATTCATCTTGGAAAAGACCCTTCTAGGTCTCTTCGCATCGCAGTGACCGTCGCCATCACCATTTCAAAACTCTGCAGCAAGAAATTCAAGCTCCCATCGGGTCCCATACTCATACCCGTTTTTGAAAACTGGCTCCAGGTCGGCGACGACCTCAACCACCGTAATCTCATCGAACTCGCTAAGAAATTCGGCGACTGCTTCCTCCTCCACATGGGGCAGCGCAACCTCATCGTCGTCTCCTCGCCAGAGCTTGCAAAGGAGGTGCTCCATACCCAGGGAGTCGAATTCAAGTCGAGGACCCGAAACGTCGTTGTTGATATCTTCAACGGTAAAGGGCAGGACATGGTGTTCACCGACTATGACAAGCATTGGTGGAAAATGAGGCAAATCATGACCGTGTGTGTTGCAGAATGGAGGGAAGGGGTGCAGGTTGTAGAAGAAAGAAGAGAGGGAGAGGGTGTGATGGGATGAGGGAGGGAGAGGGTGCGGGGGGGTTGGGGGAGGTAGAAGACGGTTTTTTTTTAATACCCCTTCTCAAAAAAAGAAAACCACGTGGACCCCTTAATAACACGTGGCGCCCAATCATTGTCCACATAGGCGCCATGCCATCAGTTAATGGTAGACTTAACAGTTTGACTAATGGATGTATGAGACTGTCCCAAAATTAACACTTTAGGTATGACTATGAGATGAAAAATCCTTGATGTACTAAATGTTGAAAACCACGAAACATAAAGATAGTAAACTGAGATTTACCCTATTTATTATATAGATCTCTATCGCATCTTGTCAACACACCTAGTTTGTTTCCTTCTTTGTACCTGTTCAGACTAGATGTTCTGCTTTTCTCATGATATAAAAATATTATAAACCTCTATCTCTCATATGACGTGCGCACCTACATATACTTTTACATGACTTACACACCTGCATATATATATATATATATATAAGCCCATTATGCAAAGGGATACCCATTTTTTTTCAAAAAATGGGGATTAGGTGTGGGACTCACTTTACATCGAACTTCAACGATCCGAACCGTCTATTTTGTAAGTCTCGATTCATAGATCATTCTTGCAAAAATTCAATTTAATCCGAAACCATTTGCCTATTTAATTATCAAGATAAAATTTCATTGTTTCTTATATAACAAAATATTCGTTCATTTCTTTGAACCCAATTAGATGTCTTAAACATTTCTGATTTGGCTAATATTTTGTAAGGATGATCTATGAGGTGCAACTTGAAAAATTGACGGTTCGGATCGTTAAAGTTCGATGTAATGTGGACCCCACAACTAATCCCCATTTTTATAAAAAAATGGGGATCCCTTTCCTTAAAGATTTCCTATATATATATATATATATATATATATTTACCATGTATGTTTCCTCCTCACACATATAACCCGTAATAATGTTTCCTCTGCACACATACAATCCACAATGCTAGGTTGTACACCTAGTCTACACGTTTAGGCCAAAAGTCTAATCTGCACGCCTAGTTTGACACCTTCGTATGCTTTTACACACACACGCATATATATACATATATAGGCCCCTTTAGGTACCGTTTGGTACGTGGGACAGGACGAGACGAGCCATTCCGTCCCACGTTTGGTGCGCTTAAAAACTGTGAAACGGGTTGTCCCATGAGACGAAATTTGGCTGATTTTTCGTTCCACCTCTTCCCCCTGGAACGATCCGTTCCACATACGTGGAACACAAATTTATAACATTTTATGACAAAATTTCTCCTTATCTTTTTCAATATTTACATCATCCGTTCCATCCTGTTCCGTCCCGTCCCGTCCTGTTCCGTCCCGTCTGCGTAGCAAACGGTACCTTAGGGAAAGGATCCCCATTTTTAAAAAATGAAGACACCCTCTTAACTATTAGATTTGGCTTTAATGAAATTCTGTGGTTGAGATTAAATCACATGCCACAGAATTTCAACCACAAAATTTCATTAAAACCAAATCTAACGGTCAAGAGTGTATCCTCATTTAAAAAAAATGAAATTCCCTTCACTTAAGGGCTTCCTATATATATATATATATATACACACCGACAGTGACACTTGCTTTTCTCACTCTATATATATATATTTTTTTTCTTTTTGCAGACATCACATGCACACTAACACTTGCTTTTCCCTCTCTTTCTCTATACATATATATATATATATATATATATATATATATATATTTTCTTTCTGTAGACATCACATCCTTGATCGGGCTGTTTATCTATGTATATGTGTGTGTATATATATATATTTTGTTTTTTTTTTTGCAGACATACTTGACCGTGTGTATATATATATATATTTTTTTTTTGTAGACTTGCAGACATCACATCCTTGACTAGACTACACACACACACATATATATATACACACATATACATATATTTGGGTACATAGGCATATATAGGCACATTCTTACACGCAACATGGGCATACCTCTGCGTACCGACATGCGAATCTCTGCACCTACTTTTCATATAGTTGCATATATCTCTATGCATACATATGTATATATTTATGTGTCATTACCTTGGGTTTTTCTATCCCCATTTTTCTTCACTTCCTCCGCTCAATTTCTTCACCAAGCCTGTGATTTCTCGTTTCAAAGTGGCCTCTTAGCTTAGATGTAATTTTTTCATTTCAAACCCCTCTTGTGTGAATATTTCAAACATTCCACTTACGTTTACAGGTACAAATTCCTCTTTTTGTCTTCTCTAATCAATTTAGGCCGGCAAGTCTCCCACCCTGTTTCTCATGTCGAGACATACACCTTGGTCTAAATATGGTGGTACTCCGCCACACTTTGAAATCGTCAAGGCTCGTGACCAATGTCATGTTCCAGATGATGTGCACCTTAGCCCACTTCCTGCCGGATCCGACATGTATTCGGGTTTTGGTATCCCAGCCGGGTTTCCCGTTTTGTCTCCGGACCACTTAGGGGTCATTAGTTTCCTACTCCATCCTATGATTCATCTCATTTTATTCTTCACAAATACTCACCCTATGCAACTGAACCCGAACTCTTACTTGGTTATGTTGACCTTCCTGGCATTGGGTCTGAAGCTAGGCGTATCCTTAGGTTTTAGAGATTTCCTCTATCTCTTCGACTTGACTACCATTAAGGGTGAAACTAGCTTCTTTAATTTTAAACCTAGATATCACAAGAAATTCTTGTCATTGGATCCCTCGAGAGCCAGAGATTGGAAGAACCACCATCTTCTGATTTCGGGGAATTGGAAGGCTCCTTAGCTGTCTCAACTATCTATCCCTTCTACTTTTGGTCCTAAACCTGGTATATAAAGTTACCTTTGTTATCAATTTTTTCATAAATATGCAAACATAACTTACCATGAGCTTCTTTCGCAGCTTTATCGGATGGTCCCGAATAGATAATCTT